AGTCCATCATGTCTTTGTATTTTGCTGAAGAAATAGGACGAGATCCAGCGTATAACGGATCCATTTCTATTTGTGAATAACGCTTAGGTCTTCCTTTCTTTGGTGACAAATCCAAAGTTAGAAATTCATCTTTTTCGTCTAAAGTTAGTTTATAAAATATTTTATAGCCATCTGCTGGCGGGTCTAGAGGTAGCCGCCACATCATTATAATATAATTGACAAAACTGTACTATTCTCTTTCGCACTTATAAAAATAAGTCCAGTGATCACAACTTTTTTAAAAATACTGAAAATAATTTAAAACAATACTTCACACACACTTATCACACGTTTCTATTTCTTTTACACTAAGCTCCGCAATTAATTTCTTGAGTACAGCGACTTACGCCACTTTCAAAATAAACATGTTTGTTATACCGTTAATTAGCAAAACTTCTCTCGAACAAATCTCAATAGTTCTCAACTTATTGATTGCAAATTTTTTTAAAATGAAAAGATACCGTTCAATTGTAATTAGTGTTATCATTAACTCGATATTTTTGAAAAAGTGACTTATGCCACTTTCAAAATAAACGGCTCATATATTTTGATCGAATATTATTGCGAAACGATTTAGAGTATCGGGAATTTTATTTAAATAAAATTCTTGGCATTTTATTTTATTTAAATAAAATTCTTGGATATGCAATGGCAGTTGATTACAGCCAACGCAACAGTCGGCCGACTTCTTTCTCTAAGGGCAGGTTTTCCTTCGACGATTGTTGTCGCGTCTGTCGGTGTTCTGCCTCCGGAACAAAACGCGACGTTGACAGATAAATTTAGATAAGCAGATCGTTGAATTATTACGGCACGATCGAGAACAGTTCCGGGAATCGGTTTAATTGCTAGACGGACGAATACGACAAATCGACGTTGCGTTAAATATTCAATGGCTGTCGAGCAGAAGCCGTTGAATATTCACCGTTGCGATCCGGGGTGAGCGAGGGGTGAGCGGGCTCGCGCGAGCGAACGCGTCTCTTTGTGTGTGTACGAGCGTACAGACACGTACAATTTCTCCCCAATAAAACTTTCCCATAGAAACGGTGCACGGGGTGTCGTGGGAACCGCATCGACCGATATATAAAGCAAGCACCATACGTATTTTTATGGGGCGTGTAGACGTCCAAGCAGTTCGGGGATTCCTTTGTAACGAATCGACGGCTCCTCGTGTCGTCGGAAAGATCGCGAGCTCGTTAGAAATGATTTAGAACCGGTTCATTGGAAATTCTCAACGTTTCCACGAATGTTTTCGGTTTGCTTGCACCTGCAAAATTTCATTCCTCGCGAAGGATATTCATCGGATTTAACGAGATTT